ATAGAGTTTACGATACAAGATAAAATTAATTTCAGAAATTTAATTACCATATAAGCGGACATTGATCTCAAAAATACTAGATAGTGTAAATGATAACACAAGATACATTATACTCCTAATTTTTGTTAAGGAAACCCATCTCTCGTTACATTTTTCATTAAAAGCTCCAAGCAACTCCTAGCAAAAGGAACTCAAAATAAAATCTCTCGAAACATCGGTGCATGCAAACAAGATTTTTTCCCGTGCGCGCCGGCATTAATCATGATCGCGTTTAACGAAAAAACATTCTCACCTAAAGTCTGAAATCACCGTGCTATTTCTGCGTCAAAACTCGTTTTCCTCGGGGTCTGAACAAAAATCTGCTCAGAAAAAAGAGCCCCAAGAAACGCGAAACTACCATCTTCATTAACAGGAGAAACATCGTTGAACAACGCGCCCACGAAGGAGGGAGGGGGTAGGAAAAAAAAGGGGATATCAATTACTCGGTAGGGCCGTTTCCTTAACCACAGCTACGAGCGTAATCAACGCGTTGAGCACCTTTTAATCGACACTCCGGTGCCGATTCCTCGCGACTCGAGTCCGTTCCCTGCTCGATTCCTTAATCCTCTCGATTAATCGCCGCTGGGCCTCGAAAGAGAGTGGCAAGGACGAAAGGGAGAGGACGGAGGGGAAACGATCGCGTTACGTAGGCCCGAGCGCGAACTTGACACCGACAAGGACGCGTTTCGAAAGGAGGAAATAAAAAAAAGAGAGAGAGAGAGAGAGAGAAATAGTGGTCCCAGACCGTTAAAGGACGCGCGGGCGAGTCAGCTGTTTAAGAGGCGCGCGACCATCGCCGAATTAATCACGGCTAAAAGGAACTTCGAGACGAGAGATCGTCTAGCGCGAATTAAGGATCATCGCGAAACGGGTAACCGGCATAAACTGAGGTTTGGTACTTTTCTGAGCTTACACTGGCTAGATGAATTTTTGCCAGATTTTTACATTGTCTGATCGAAACCGGGATCCTATTTAAAGGAAACCACCGTCAAAATGAAATTATTACCGCTCATCCTTTGCCAAAAATTACACGCCAGTTGTCCAATAAAACGCAGATATTTATTCGTTGACGCGCTTCCGCTGGTGGCCATGCCTCGACCGCGGTGTTTCCTAACGAGTTTCCGCACAACCGCGCAATATGTCGTTTCGCAGAGATCTTGCGCATTCATTCGTTCCGCTAAGATCGTTTCGCGCGCGATTGCTCACTGCCAGAGCTCGGGAAAATTAAGAGAAAAAATATGTTCGAAGCGCTACTTGGACTTTTATAATAGACGTTGCGTCGTTCGGGCGAGATTTTATTAAGTTAGAAAGCGATTTAAGTATTTCTGTATCGATACGTTGTGACATTTCAAGCTTGTACTTGGAATATTCGTTGATTAGGAAGATTGTATATTATATCGTTACGCGGGGAAACTGGAGTATTTGATAGAGCGTCTATTTTCACAGTTGGATGGGCTATTTGAGATCAAATGGACCGTTTATAGTTAAATTTATTTGATATTTCAAGTAATATTTTTACTCTGATTAGCAGAGAAACTGTAGTATTTGATGGAGTGTCTATTTTCACAGTTGGACGATTTAGAATAACGTGGATCGTTAGATATTACATTTATTTGAATGAATTAAACATATAAAGACAAGTGAAACCCCCTTGTATTAATAATAATATTACTCATAAAATACGTTAAATTCGACCAAAAATTAAGAAGAAAAAGAAGAAAATTTACTCTCCTCCAATCGCATACAATTTTTTTTTAATTGCTCCCTGTACCCTAATCAAAAGTACAGCCCCCCTGATTTACATAAATGCCATCTGGAACTTCTGTTATAAATTAATATAAAACCCATCTTAAATCTACTTAAAATTTCTCTTCATCGACAGATTCTTAATTTATCGAGGACTCTGGTCCCGCCGTGGGGCTCGGTTTTGACTAAATTATTACTATAACGGTCGTAAATTTGTAACGGTTCGAATCTTGCACGGTGACACAGTTCCATCTGGTAGAATCTCCCGTCGACGTCGCGGACGAAATTACGTAGACTCTCTTCGGCGTCTCGCGCGCAGGATAATCCGCTCGAGTTTCGACTTCGCGTCGGCTTCGACCTAATTCGTAATCAGGTTCCTTTCGAAGACGATTCGATCGAGGCGGTCTTTGAGAGGAGTCTGTTTCGCGACTAGTTTCTACGATGGTTATCATGAAACGCTCGTAATGACAGGTGTTGGAAGAGTAGCTGACTTGCTCGTGATTCAAACTCGATGATATATGCACAGGTCGACTGAGAATATAGCAGGTCTAGAGAGGGAAACTTAGAAGTACTTGATGATTTATTATAATTCGATTGATATATATTCATTTGTTTTAATACTAAATTGACCGTAGTTTCTGTTTGAAATTTTTAGGAACATTTGTCGTTAACTGGTGTTAGTCTTTATTATTCGGTCAAGTTATTATAAATATAAAAAGTTGACTATACCAAGTGCTTTGGCACTTAAATTTCAAAAAGTGAAGTCGATCGATTTGTGCAGCGAACGGCTCAATTAATAGTGCACGCACTACATCGCACTAGACTCAACTCCTATTATGTTCACTTCGCACAAAATATCATTTGTACATGCTCGAGGGAAAGCCAGAGGTGTCAACGAGCCTGAACTTCAATCCCCAATCTCATCGATCAAACCTCATCAATATGCAGACATTAACCCAATGCGAAAGTCGTCGAAACTGAAGCCTCGGTTCATCATCGAACAAGAGCATCGACATCCGCGTAGATCACGATCCTCGGCCAACCGTGGATCGCTGTGATCATGGGGCGTGGCACAGAACGATCCAAGAAAGGAATCCGTCGTTTTACGTAACGATCTCGAGCGATCACGCAGGAAATCGACCGCCTCTGCGTCGCTCCTCGCGTGTCCAGGATAGTGGCTCGAACCTCGCGTCCTCTTGGTGCGATACCCTTGTACCTGATCGTCCACGACTCCCAGGAAGTACACCGGCACGCATCGACGTAATTTCCAGGATCCATAGTCTCGTGACTCGAGCGAATTACTCGTTGCTCCCGCCTTTGGTCCTTCTTAGCATTTTCTCTGTCTTGGAGACGTTGGGAGACGCTTTATCCCACGGAGTCGCGAGGCTACGACCCGGGCAAATTAAGGAGAGAGGAACCTACGCAATTAAAACCGAATTGGGAGTTTTGGACGGCAACGGGTCGCGAAAGAGGGTCTAACGGGGATTCGGTTCGAGAACCGGTCCGTCGCGGAGCGTACATCCTTCGTGGAACCGGTGGAAGCCTCTCAACTTTGTTTCCACGAGGCATCAATCAGATCCGAGGAAGTGGAACATCCATGTTAGACCCCTGGTGGAGTCTGCATTGAACTCCAGTGGCAAGAAATAATTCACGATTATTGTTGAAGACGATCTCCCGACACTGATGAGAAACTAAAGTTAAATTGGGCCTCGAGGCAACAGGTTTTCGTGAATTATTATGCTAAAAAGGAAAGGTGTATTGCTGTCATTGTACTCATTGATATCATTGGAGAAAATATGATATACCGATCTATACTATACTAGTCCTATGTAGGCTCTAAAGGTGCAGAGATTCTCGAGGCAACTAATTGCCAGCTGATTATCAAGTTTGATCCTGCGTTGAACTCCTTCAGGTGACGGTTGTCGCGCACATGACTATGAATATTTAATTTCTCTTAAAAGAAACGTAGCAGCACAGAACTTTGTGTATAGACTGAAATTGTGATAGAGGTAGTCCAACTACCATTCATTCAAAAAATCAAAAATAATTCCATTTTAAAATTCAATACGTCTAACGACCTAGAAAAGTAGGACACATCTTACAAACACGTCTCATATAAATACCGGTCAACAACCATAAACCTTCTTCGGAACAAGGAATACTCCATAGTACGTCTTTAAACCATGCTTGAACTTCAAGTACCCCTCCTCGATGGTTTCTACAAGAACGAGAGGCCCAGTTATGACAATGAATCCCTTCCACAGACTGCATATACCTAGAAAAAGGACGACCCTGTCCACTAGTCGTACTCCAGAGACTCCCAAGCTTCTCTAAGGATTCGAAATTCTACCCATGCGCATACTACTCTACGCTGTATGAGTCAATAAGTCGATAGGAAATTGGCAGAAGCGTCCGATCTCTTCTCCGCCCCTCAAAATCTATGAGAGACGTGAGAAAAAAAAGAGGTATTTAAGACTACCGTCTGAAAGAACAGACTACCGTACAAAGAGTGCCGAGACACCGAGTACTAATAAAAAGGGGCGAGGAGAGACTGGAGGAGAGGAGAGGCGAAATAAAGAGCAGCCGGGAGAGGGGACGTAAGATCGTCGGAGAAGGGAGAAACAGATCTGTATGCGGTAGCTGAAGCCAGTCAGTCAGGTATGCCCGCAGGCTAGGCCATGATAGACAAGGTCGTCCTCTCCCCGCCTTTGCGCGCACTGGCTCCAGCCAGGCCTCGTTTACATTTATTTATTTATAAATATACCGCGGCGACTCGGCTAATGCGCCAACACGCGGAGGGGGAAGGAGGAAGCGGAGCAAACGCGATGGAAGGAGACAGTCCAGACGACGATGAAACCCCTTCACCTGTCCGTTTCGTTATTCGGTTAATCGCCGCGCAAATCGCGCCGCGAAAAACCCCGTCCACGTTCCCTTGACCAACTTATTACCTCGATGCTATCTTAACCATCGTCGATCAAAATCTGAGCAGAAGTATCGCTAATAATCATGTAATTTCTACTTGGTGAGCATCTCCAGAACAACAAAGACCAAAGAAAAATCCCACTTGAAGCTGACCACTGCTAGGCTTCAACTTTCCGATATCCTACCCTATCTTCCCAGGACTTCCAAGTCTCTATTAGCAACGGTGCCCGATCGACTCTACTCTTTTCCTGTTGCACGTAATTAACCGTCCACCCGTTTTCCTCTGATTGCAGATCTTCGGTAGCAAGGCGGATCTGCAGCTCCACACGCAGATCCACATGCGCGAGGCGAAGCCGTACAAGTGCACCCAGTGCTCGAAGGCGTTCGCGAACTCCTCGTACCTGTCGCAGCACACCAGGATCCACCTGGGCATCAAGCCGTACCGCTGCGAGATTTGCCAGCGGAAGTTCACCCAACTGAGCCACCTACAGCAGCACATCCGCACGCACACCGGCGACAAACCGTACAAGTGCCGGCATCCAGGCTGCACGAAGGCGTTCAGCCAGCTGAGCAACCTACAGAGCCACTCCCGGTGCCACCAGACCGACAAGCCGTACAAGTGTAACTCTTGCTACAAGTGCTTCTCCGACGAGCCCAGCCTGCTCGAGCACATACCGAAGCACAAGGAATCGAAGCACCTTAAGACGCACATCTGCCAGTACTGCGGCAAGAGTTACACCCAGGAGACCTACCTGGCGAAGCACATGCAAAAGCACGCGGAGAGGACCGACAAGAGACCGCCCATCATCGGTACAGGGCTCAGGCCGTCCATCCACGCGATGGCCCACCACCAGGATCACTACTGGCCGAAAGTGAGCCCGGACTCGGTGATCAGCGATCTCCACGAACGACTGCCCCACCATCACACCGACTACCATCAGAACCAGAACCCCGAGATGCTGCTACCCGGCCACGGCCACCGCGGCGACTCCATCGAGAACGACTCCAGGCAACAAACACCCCAGCCGGGCGCCAATCATCACCCCAACAGCAGCTCGGCGTTCACCCCGATCTCCTCGATCTCGATAAACTCGATCTCCTCCATGCAGCACCCGTTGAACCCGTTGAACCACTTGCACTACCCGGGCAGCCATCACCCAGCCTCCAGGCCGTACCTCTACGAAGCCTTCAACTCCACGCAAAAGTCCTCGCCAGCCTCGTCCTCGTCAGGCGTCACGCCTGGAACAACAACCAACCAGAACGCCACGTCGTTCCCCAACCAACTGATCAGTCTACATCAGATCAGGAACTACGCGCACCAACCGAACTTGGGGAACCTCGGGAACCTCGGCAACCTGGGGAATCTGAGCAACCTGAGCAACCTTAGCGCGTCGATGGAGAGCCACGCTCTCCTCGGCGGGCTCAAGGAGAAACAGTAACTCCGGCTGGTCTTGGAGATTAGGGGCGACTGCTATTTCTCCTCGGTTTCTTCTTTCTTGGTGGCATCCTCGTTCCTCCTGGACAGACCTGCGATGATTTTTATCGAAGTGAGAGTGAGAAGTAACTATTTTGAAGTAATTTATTTGAAAGTAATGATACAGTCAGTCTCGTGGGAACTCGTACGCTCCGCGGAAGTGTTTGAATTAAACGAGGGGATTCTATCCAAGTAAGTTTTTCATTATAAATGTTTACGTGGGTAAAGTTTATTGGTAGCGAAACATTTATTTGGAAATGGTAAGCCTATCGTTTAATTTGAACACATTTCTTTTAGGGTAGGAATACTTATTTGGGACTGACTGTAACGCCATTTGAAATAGTCGCTATTTTAAATGACGAGCTATTTTTTTGTTTCAATGGAAGAAGGAACCTTCGAAGTAATATCGTTATTTGAGAGACTTTTATCCGAGTTTGTCTAATATCGTAGACAAAATGTGTTTACACGTTTAAAATTATCAACACGTTTCTTCTTAATTTTTCATAACAAACATAGATCCATTCAAGAGTATGATTTTTTTTTTTTTTTTTTTTATTTTTAACAAGAACTTTACGATTATTTCAAACAATTACAAAATCAAATACATTATTTGACATAATATTTCAAATAATGTTACTTCGAAAGTGCTCACAGGTGCATACATACAATTATTAGATTTAGTAACATCTTATTTGAAACAACATTTCAAATACTATCACTTCAGAAGTCCTCAGGTCTGCCCCTGGACATCGTGCTCGAGACTGGACGCGAAAAGACGAAAGCACTAGTCGTTCGTCTTTCCCCTTGGTCGTCCAGGTGTCTCTCCACCTTCCGTTACCTTCTCCCGCACCTGAACTACCCAGCTCTTCTCAGACCCGATCCTAATGACCATTTTCGAACCTCCTCAATTCGTTCCTGTTTAATTTTTAAGCGCGGTGCCAGGGGGTGACTGCTCGCCAACCCTTTCGAAGTAACTCTCGAATCAACCCTCTTTCCTATTTTTTTTTTTTTGTTTCGCTTATTTTCAGTTTTAGTTTGCTCGAAGCGATTTTTTCGAGAGAATTTTTAGTTCGTACAGAGTCGAATATTCGTTTCGAAGTCACGTCGTTTTTTCTTTTACGTTTTTTCTTTTACGTTTTTAACCGGTCCCCTTTTAACCGCAACGCGAAAGGTCGAGGAATCCCGTTTGAGTTCCCCGACTATCGAGGGTACAGGTGGCGAGGGGTCGAGATCGGTTTCAGAAAAGGGAGCATCGATCTCGGAATCGAATGCAAATCGATCGGTCGACTTTTAATCGTTTTAGTGCTACCGGGCATCCATGCATGAAGAGCAAATATTAGAAAGTCCGCTCGCCAAGCAGCGGTATCGATTCTACGGTTGCTGCTCGATCGTCGCAGGCCCATGAATCGGCGTGATCGATCGCGATCGCTGGTCAGTCGCTGATTAACTTTCACGTTTCGAAGTTAGTTGGAAAGTAACGAATGATTACTCGGTGTTACCGCGTTTCTTGGTAATCATCGATGCTCCTGGAGCGAATGGTCACCCTGGAGGGGATGATCCTGGCACCGAAACCCTTCAGATATTATTTTGGGGGACGTCGAGTTCCAAGCTTTCTTCGTCCTTTCCCTGACGATCTCCTTAGGTTAATTGCAAAGCTGAAAGCCTTTTTTGATTCGTCGTCGAATGGTCCCATCGACGGTGTGAATGCTTGGACACTGTTTTCGAGTTGGTGGAGATTTTAGTTCCTTTTTAATGTCGTTTGTTCGAGAATGCATAGTCCCTGGAGGAGCTATCGGGGTTGGATCGTGGACAGCATTCGTATCTTAACGCTTTATTTACCGATCTATTTAGAAACAATTTACAAGAGATAAAAGGATTTTTTAGATTATATATATATTCTCTTTTGCATTTTTGTGTCTGGAACAAAGGGACCCGCTTGGTTTTGGGAGAGGAGCTCCGGTTTTAATCACTTTGTAGAATTTCAACGTGCAACCTTTGTTGCAATGATGTAGCTGGGGAAAATTGTGTCCGAGGAGATTGTTAGAGATTAATCTTTGGATTCCAAACACGTTATTATTGCGTCGAACTAGTCAAATTAATCTGCCGAAACAGTAATGACGGGTTCGTCGACGTAACTTTTAAACATGAGGATTTTATCATGGTCTGGATCTTAATTCTAGGTGTTATACGAAAGTGATCCACAGAGTCTACTATAAGACATTCCATAGAGCCTACCGTAGAACATTCCATAGAAATCAGAATAAATCCTCCCTTATCAAGCAAGTCTGTCGACTTTACCCCGAATCCCAATCGCCACAAAGCTACCAATCTCCTCCAGAGGACACCCCTTCGACAGATTCCGCGTAAAACATTGAAAGTCGCGAATCGATGGGACCGACGGCGTTAATTCCGTTCTTTTCACGTTCCTGCCTCCTAAGAGCACTGTTCGTAAGGGAGAATAGCAAAAGTCAGGAGAAATCGTGCCGTGAAGTACAGCTATTTTCCAAGGGGTGGCTCTCATCCCTGTCGACGGGGGGTGGGCGCACCTTTCTGGGTCGAGTGGACGTTTCGCTCGCAACGGGATAATTAACGAAGAGTATGAGAGCGCGAGACTCGCGTGTGCGTGTGTATATGTGTGTATGTGTTTCGGTAGAGAGGGATAGGGAGAGAGAGAGAGAGAGAGAGAGAGAGAGAGAGAGAGAGAGAGAGAGAACGGAACTATGGGGAAAATTTAAGCATCTCACGCACCTTTTAAGATAGGAGTTACACGCGTACACACACATTACGTGAAGGGCACAAATCGTGTGAATGTCCTGCGGGCTGAGAGAATGAGAGTGAGAGTTTTAGGGTAGATCGACGACAGTGCCACGAAATATTCAATTTTGCGAAAGTAACCGGGGGAACGATAGAGAAATTAAAGAGTAACGAGGGCTAGAGGGTAAGAGAAACTGCAAGAAAGGGTTGAAACGCGTTTGGAACGCACAGGCGCACAGAGAGAGAGAGAGAGTACGGTACGGAGAACCTCCTTGTACATAGCTATTATATATAAATATATATATATATATATATATATAAATAAATGAATAAATAAATATTATATATTATTATTAATTGATTAATTAAATAATTAATTGATCGACATTCGGTAGGTAAGAAAGAGAGGAAGGATATAGACTCTACTGAAGATATTCTAAGTACCTTATCTAAAGAGAGAGAGACAGAGTGTGTGGTCAGAGTGGGAGAAGCAAAAGCAATCGTTGCCCAAAGTTAATTACGATAATTTTTTTTCGTTTTCGTTTTTCGAGGCTCCGCTCCGCGAGCGACCTCGGCGATCGGACGACCTTTCTTTCCTTCGTTCCATTTCGCTGTTCTCTTTCGACGTTTCGTCGTCGAGGTCGATCGCGGACCGCGGAGGAAGCGTTCGGTGATACTCTTCTCGCCGAAAGAAACAAAAAACACACACGCTAGCAAAATGGGGGATAGAGGGAAGGGACTAGAACACGTGTACTGTAGATAATTTCTTGTTACGGCGCCGCACGTGTCACGTTTCGAGGCTCCTCCCGTAGGAACATTTGTTCATTCAAGCGTTGGCCCTGGGAAACCCTAAGAAACTACCCCAAACTATCGAAGTTAGTGAAGATACTAAAACTACCCCCGAGCCAAGAAATTTTTCCGTTTGTTTAGCCATACTCTCACCCCACCTATCCCCGGTTTTCTTTAACCCTTTGCTGTCCTGTGTCGAGCGAGGCTCGACAGAACTGTACCGAAATCAGAAAATCTGGACTCCTCGGTGTCCTCGTGACCTCAGACTCCGTTCCGAGAGGATCCTAAGCTGATCTAATCAAAGAAGGATTCGTTCCTTTGAAATAATCCTAGAATGACGGGGAAGCCACCGATACCCGACACGTCGGCGCTCCACCTGTGCTCAAGTTGTTTAAAACTATTAGTTTGTTACTAAGAGGAGTGGATGAAAGACTGCGAGTGAGACGGATGAATGACCGCGTGAGTGTCGCGAAAGGGACGGAGAGGGAACTCGGTGTTCCGTTTACGAGGGTAAAAAGCGAGATTAGGTATGAAACAATGCGATGAAATGCGAAAACGATGAAACGAGGGGACAACGACTTGTTCCGTCGTTTCTTCGTTTTGAACCCGGGAGAAAATCGAACTTGGGCGGGCGGGGGGTGTCAAAGGGAACGAGGATTCGAGGATTTTGTTTTTGGGGGTATGGGGTGGTTACAGTGTCAGGTAACCCCCGCGCTTTAATTGTGATCTTTTTTCTGTCTATCCTTTAGTTCCATTGATGATTATTTTATTATTATTTTATTAATATTATTATTATTATTATTATTATTATTATTATTATTAATATTATTATTATTATAATTACGATTTCGTTTAATAAACTGTCACGTTAAAAGAACATAGACGTCAACGGAAGGAGGAGAGACGTCGGACATCCCGGCGGTCTCGTCGATGAACATTTTTTTTTTTCTGTTGTCACCGCTCCGAGTGAAGATTCCCGTCCCGAACCCGCAACGCACAACCCTTGTACAACCCTTTTTCCTTCTCCTTCCTTCGCGTGGAAATCTACGGTGCTGCTTTCACCCCGTTTTCTCGAAAGGTTGTTCTCTTTCGGAACGTACGAGGAAAAGTGGACGAATGGAACGCGGAATGAAAAGGAATCGTGGTGGGATCGAGAGGGAGAGGGGGGTGGGGGGGATTCTGGAGGTAAAAGTGGGTAAAAAGTGAGGTACGAAGGTTTTTTATAGGGGACTTAGTTTTCGAGAAATTTTGATTTGAAAATGTTTGGGGCGTCGGAATTTCAGTGTCTGGCTATTCGCTCGCTTTTTCTACTTGCAGTGGCATTCGTGGATAGTGGAGATGGTTCTGTGTTGTTTTGAATGAATTTTGTGAGGTCCAGAGATGGGTAGAATTTAAATGCCAGAAATGTACAAATATACCATTTAAGCCAGTATTAAATAACCCAAGTGTCCCGTAAATGTTCAAATTAAATTTCCTCGAAAACAAAGCCCCCTGCCAAAAAATCTTATTCTACATTTTCGACGTACTTTTTCATCCAAAATCAGCATACACTTCGACTGCAACTCGATTCCAACCCGAATCCAGTACAGCCTCGTCGCAAAAGTACGAGGCGCCTTCGTCGCGAACGAAGGATGTTAACGCGTGAGGAATAATTTTAGTTTCGTTGGCGGATTGTTCGTTGTTACCTCGATCGAGTGCAATTAGACGAGAAAGTAAAACTTTTGCATGAGGAGATGATCACGAGTGAATTGAAATTTTTTTACGGGGATTGTTTACGAGTGTGCAGAGTGTCTTGTATGCATAAGAAGAAACTGCGATTTTTCGTCGAGGAACGAAACCTTCCTGGAGACTCCTTTCCCCTTTTCTTTCTTCTCTGTTCCGTTTTGTAACGTTTACTTGTCTCTGGTTTCTCGTTTTTTTTTTAATATTCAAAGTTGCAGAAAGATGCCGTCCATTATGCTTTCGAAAAATGGGAAAGAAACGCAAGGGGCGCAGAGGATCTGTCTTTTTACGAGTGATTTACTTAGATTTTCGCACACTTTGCTTGATACTTTTTGCGATCGAAAACACCACAGTGAACATCGACCACAGACGTGAAATTCGATTTTTAATCGATGGTGGTTTCACAGAAATTGTAGCCAAGCATTAAACGCGTTCTTGATCGTTCTACTCTTTCCAGAGAGAAGAATTTACCTTCTCCATTTCTTTAGACTTCTGCAATTTAATTTGAAAGCTCTTGGTTTCCTTTATCCAAGGAATTTTTAACCAAATTTATTAGAGTAGTCTTGATATTCTTAGATTAATTTTCTCCAGACTAATCGAAATACTATCTGTATAGCAAAAGACAAGACGGACAAAATTCTTGTCCGCATACAATTTTAAATTAACGAACGGAACACTAACATTTTTAGTCAGTTTTTTCATCGATGTGCCAACCAGAACGATCAAGGAACGTCGTATTATCACAGGACCAACCGATCCTTTCGCTCCTCGCACGCAATCAGTTCCTTCGAGTGACTTTAATTCGGTTTTCGACAACGAGCGCACGCAAACGAAACAACTGACGTATAAGTTCGTCGATAAAAGGGGAAAGGCGACCAGAAACACAGCAATACTTGAGAAAAGCACAGGTCTTTCGAAAAAACAAAACAAAAAATAAAAGTAATAAAAACAAATCATGGAAATCACGGGCGATTATTTTCTCGATTATTTTTCTCAAAATTTTTCGAAGGACCCTGGGTACGTTTTCGTTGAAAATAGGTTTCCTTCGATTGTTCCGTGGTGGGTCACTTTAACCCTGAAATTTTGTACGAAGATTTGCTGTGAGAAATATCCAAACTAGTGCGACGTTAGAAGAATGTTTATTAGGATCTGCTGACATGATTAGAGTCCATGGAATTTATTATAAAAAGCAAAATAGGGGAAAGTCTGTTCATTTTCACCCCTGAATTTTCCTTTCGGAGGTCGAATGTGTCCATGAATTTTTGTGAAATTTGCGAGTACAGCGTAAGAGCGAGTTTTTGTTTACTTAGGAAGCCATTGTACAATTTTGTAAAAATATACTCGCGCTGGCGAGGACGGTTCTGTGACTGGAAAGTAAATCTGTGAAAGAAGAAGGGGTTGATTCAACCAGTAACCATAAAAATTATCCTAACGATAGAATAACCATCACCCTCTACAAGGAAAATGTACTATAATTTAATTCCATATGCTCCCATATTCTGAACCGTAAAATTTATTTTAAACACAGTCAAAATTCCTCGGAGACCTCGTATTTTCTTCCTTCGATTCGGGGTTAAAGTGGTTCGAATCGTTTCCACAGGACTCTCGTACCCATAAATTATGGCAAACCAAACTACAATTGGGGGAAGAGTGTACGTGCGTGCGTATGTGTGTGTGTGTGTGCGCGCGCGTGTGTATGAATATGTGTGTATGCGCATGTTTGTGCGCGCGAATGAACAGGAAACAAATTTAAAAAAAAAAAGGCAAAGAAAAGACGACTGTGAGACTGAAAAATCGAGAATTAGGGAGAGAGAGAAAGGTTCACACATAGGCAACGTAAGGAAAACAATATATTGATTATATTGCGTGGTACGAACAGAACTGTGATATTTTATTGTATAAATTTACGGTAAAGAAAAAAAAAAAAAAGATGAAGAAAGACGAAGAAAATATGAAGAACAAATTCTCTAAACGGATATAAACTTACGTAGAAGCGGGATATTACTGTATTTTACAAAGAAGTGCATCCTTAAGCCATTCAAAACGCAATCGTACGGAACGCGCGTGCGCACGAATAGCCGAGCGTCCCTTTGGGGATTGAGTACTTTTCGATTATTTAAAAAAAAAAAAAAAAAAAAAAAAAAATGAAAACAGAAAGATTCTCTCGTCGTGGAAGTTTCATGAATGGGTTCACAAATGATCGAGAAACCGTCGCTTTCGACGTAGATGTATATCCTCTTTGTCCGGTCCATTCTCAACTTCGAACGGGACGCTCGGTGGTTTTTTTTTGGAAGGGCGATCGCGGTGCCCCAGTGTCTAATCGTTTCCTGTTTGTAAAGTATATATATAGATATATAATATAGATATATTATATACGAATTAAATGTTTGATAAGAGAGAAAACCAGCGAGAGAAACTGAGGGAAAGAGTTACGACGGGAGACGGATCTCTCGTTTGCGATTCGAAACGATTTTAAGAGGCACACATGTACACGCAAACAAACACACACATACACACACAGACATACATACACATACTCGGTTAATAGGTAGAAGAGTAAGTAATTACGCTACGTCTGTAAAGTTTCGAAGGAAGATCACTTCTACGCGCTACTGATCGTCCCTAGCCCCCCCACCCCCCACCCCCGATCCCCGTGAATAAAAGAAAAACGGAAAGAACGTCAAAGAAAATCGTGTTTCCTAATCCCTCGAGAACAAGGAATTTTTACTGATCGAGGGCGAGCGAACCGCTGGCCAATTTGCGACGAGTGCCACTGGAAAATATTGTCCTGTCAGGAAAGTGTCAGAAATTGAGAAATTTTTTTGTTTTGGTTTTTGAGACAAAATAATTAGAATTCTAATGTTTATTCAACGAGCGGTAGACGAACAGTTTATCTTTTATGCATTACCTGAAAATTTTAGGAAGATTCTCCATAGAAATTTCAAATATTTCCAGGAGTGAGTTTGTTTGAGAAATTTTGAGAGACTCTTGTAGTAGCACTTGTTTTTGTAAGCATTGAAAGATTTCACTCTTGTAAGATATTGTAAATAACGAGTAAAATTGAATGCAAAAAAATGTACACGAGTCTGAGATAATCGTAAATCGGGAATCGTTTCTCAAAATTGAAAATAAAAACAGTTGTTGTCATTAATTTTCTTGAAAAGGTATCTTAATTTTGACTTGGATATATTTGAAGAATTAATACTGAAAAATAACGCGTAGTATTTATTTTACGTATCTCTCTCAGAAAATAAACAACAATTCTGTTGAAAATATCAAGCAACATCTCTCGAGATTCAATGTCGAAAATAAACCACAGATATCCATAACAAAAATTTGTATTCATCCAAAGCGACGTTTAGTGTTTCACAGTGGCATTCTTCGATAAAAGGAATAACTAGAATCGTTACAGTTAGGCGTCACTATACATTATGCAAAAGAGAAGGAGCTGTAATAGGGGTGATTGCGACCAATGAATTCCCTGGCATTTTATTTATACATATTATATATAATTATAAAGCTGTGCACCAGGTGGTCCCAAAAATATTGAAATATAAATATCAGTTAGCAAAACTAAATTCAAAGCCAAAAAAGATTAAATAGAACCACGAGATCCAGATAAAAATGAAATGAGCTCCAAAAAAAAAATTGCATTGTTTTCATTAAAAGCCTGGAATTCTTCGAGCCGCGGTCACCACACCGTGTGGTACTGCTCGAAGCAGGAAATATTGGCCGCTCAAGGTCACGCGTATGGGGCACCCCCTACTCCACCTTGTGGTTCTTGAAAGACTACGAAACACGAAGTAAAAGACATACAAATGATTCTCAATGAGGTTACTGACCATGAGCGCCTAAAATTTGCTACGCCTCGAGCACCAGTTTCATCTTATGTAACGCGAACTAGTTTTGAGCGTTGTTCCAGCGGGATTCCCCAGTTTTCGAAGAATCGTGACAAGGAGGAAAGCGTCCAGTCATTAAAATTAAATCGTCAGCGTGCACCCAGGGCCGAATCAAGATTTTATGTAGCAATCAAGAACGCCCTGGTAATGTTTCCCAATGAGAAAAGGATCGAAGAATAGTAAAATTGTAATAATTATTTAATGCTACAATTTTGAACAAAAGTATTTCTTGAAAAAATAAAAATACTCGTTACGTTTTGTTCAAAGAGTAGTTTGAAATCCGACATAGAACTTGCTTCGGGAATGTGTACAGAGGTACAGTACTGTTCCTTAAAAAGAATTTTGTCGAGTGAGACTCGAGACTGTATCGAAATCAGAAAATCTGAGCTGCAAAGGATTAAGACGACCCTGTCCTCGAGTAAGCGAAGACCACTAGGTTCCATCCTCCGAAGCTTAAACCTTAATTCGGCCCTGCGTGCACCCTGAACGCGATACAACGAAATGACGACCATCGTTCCGCGCGTGACTTCGTCGCACATTCGCAAGCGTGGAACGCTGCTCGTCCGAACCGAGTTTAGAGAACAGAGAAACGATCGCAGACAAATAAAGAGAATAAATCGTGCGTTTTTCTTTTTCCTTCCGATGCGAGCACGGCGACGGTACAAAAGAAAAAAATGAAAAAAAAAAAAAGACAGAAGCGTGAAGAAAACGAGATGACGGAAGAAGGGAGAAGCTCGAGCGTCCTTCGTTCGAACGGCCGAAATTCGTACAGGAGCGCGTTTCACCGATCGGGGAATCCCATTTTCGAAATCGATGCCCGCGCATCCCGCTGTTGCAGTCGAATAGAGGAAGATTCTTAGGAAAAGGCTTCCTGTGTGAATTTCGTCGACTGCGGCGAGTTCTGGGCATGGAAGAGGAACGACTACTGCTGTTTTCAAGCCAGGCCAGGCATGGGCAACTCAGATTCTCGCGGGCCATGATAAATATAATAAACGCTATCCGTTGGTAAGCATTACATAACGTCACAGGAAGAAGCAACGAGTGTGCAGGTGCTATTACTGTATTAAATATGGCCACGTGGCACGTACAGTGGTCCCCCACTTGCCCATGCCTAGCTTCGAGAAACGAGGATTGTTGTTAGAGGTGTCGTTCCTTTGGTCCTCGCTCGTCTTGGTTCACGGTCGGGTAATATCACGACAAACGGAAATTCGCGTTGTATTTATAATCAATTTTCAAAGTTTCTCGCGACCATTACTTCTTGAATGGCCGCGCAACCCTTCGCGCGGCCAGACCTTGTAAAACAAATCCCGCCCCATCGTCGACACTAACTGTTCGTCCTTTTTAACAAATATAACAAAACTTACGTCTTACTAATTGCGAACGGCGACGTGGAAAGCCATTGCAATCGAATCTAGATTAAAATTTCATCGGGTAGCTCACGAATCTCAATTTAGAAGAGATTGCCTTGGCGTTCTGCATTCGCAAAGTGTTTTGTAATTCCTCGTCAAGCTGCTTTTGGTTTGAATATTTTAATTGACGTATGTTTATATTTTAATTCCTTACGAATTAACGCTAAACCTACCACAGCTGAACAATAAAATATGTAAATTTCAGTTTTAAATATATGTTTCATGTATTATTCAATTCAGTAACAAATGAAATATTTTTTAATTCAATTGAGAAAGGTTTCTGTAAGACACATCGTGTATCAAGGTAGAAATAAATAACGATAAAATGTCGGTAGGTTTAGTGTTAGTTTATATTTGAGTTAAAAACAACTGCACCTGCAGAGCTGTTAGATGACTCTATAAGAAAACATCGTGTGCAAGCCAAGATACTTCATTTTGCGCTGAAATATTATAAATTTCATAGTTTCACTCTCTTCCGTTAGATGGCGCATAAGTCTGAATGATCAACGTCGCCATCTATAAAGAAATGCACGAAACTCATGCATCGGATACTGTCGGTATGGTAAGATATGTTTATGCAATCGATAAAGTAGAACCTCTCTTTCCACATACCATAAAGTAGAAACATCCCTACAGTCGATATCCATCGGCAAAATAGAACTCTTGATACCGTTTTATCGCGCACGCGCGCATCTCGAGGTATGTCATAATCAGCTGATCAGATGGCGATGAAAAGATGGCGCACGTGTGGGTGAATAATTCCGTTGTCAGATAACTGTCAAAAAAAGATAGCCCGAACAAGGACTCTTCGTTCACTGTGTCTACTGTGTGTATTGACTGATTGCACTACATTATGGCATTTCTCGAGGTTAGTTCGACGTTCTATTCGAACGTTTAATATATTGTTTTACATGATTTGTGACATAACCTAAGCTTCAACGCCTTAACGTTAAAAGCATGTTTCTTTTTCAGTGGAGACGCATCAATTTCTTCGACCTCAAAAAGGAGGTCGACGGTGGAAAGATAGCTGAAGCACTCGGAGTAAGTTTCTTTCTTTTCGAATCCAAATTTTTACGAGACAGTCGTTGTTATAGGTTATGTTAACGCGTTTGGGATTATTCTGTTCAGGAGGCTCAAGTCACCGTAGCTACGAGTGGTAACGGCAACTTGGTCTTCGGAGATAACACTGGTGTCGTGCATATAGTAAATAGGACTTACGACATCACCACTTTTCGTGCATATGAAATCACGTTAACGTTAGCTCAGCAAGTTCAACATTCCACTCTCTTATTTACCATTGGTGTTAGTATATATGTGAAGTAGTTACGTGCTCGTTGTAAATGTATGTATTACATGAAACTTCTCTTCTTAGGAAGACGAACCAGGTTGTAATCCTACGATGAAAGTTTGGAATTTAGGTAAACCGGACAAGCAGGGCAATCCGACATGCATTCGTATAAGTAGGGCGATACCTAGCTACAGAGCAGTTCCTGCAACTGCTTTATGTGTGCATAGTAATCTCTCGTTAATGGCTGTTGGTTTTGGAGATGGTTCCATTATGCTTTATAGGTAGTCAAAAAACAACAAATTCGACAGGAATTCTTCTTTATTATTTATCGTGAATTTTAACATAGAATTTTCAATACTTAGGGGTGATTTGACTAGGGAAAGGAAGAACTGGATAAAGGTGTTAAAAGATACCAATCTTTCGATCACTGGTCTAGCTATAAGATCCACAGGCAAACAAATCCACTTGTTCGTCGCGACGCCTAAAAGTGTCTTTTTATATAACGTTACCGCTAAGGGTAAAGAATTTAAGTTTCCCTTGGATGACATGGGTTGTGCCAGAAAGTGCAGTGTCCTTACAGAGTCTATGCAAGACAGTCACTTCATGATTGGTCGCGACGATGTAATAATCTCGAGAGAATTTTATTTCGAAGCGCGCGATAAACATATTTCTGTTAATAAATTCCTTTTATATTAGGCAATCTATTGCTATACGCCAGATGGTAGAGGTCCTTGTTACGCGGTAGGAGGTCAGAAAATAATGTTGGAATGGTTTAGAAGTTATTTGGTAATTGTAGCAAAAGAAGCTGCCAATGTTCCAAGATCAACCACCATTTCTGCAAAACCAAGGCAAACATTTTATACGCGTATTAATTATTACGTTATGCATGAATACGTTTACCAACAGATTGTATTTATTTGTAGTACTATAGAACCAATACCTCCAGGAGTAGATAAGCATATAATTACAGTAATCGATATACAAAATAAGTTCATTGTCTTTTCTGCGTCGATGCTCTCTGTGCAAGCTGTGTTATCGGAGTGGGGTGGATTTTTTATACTTAGCGGTGACGGCAAGCTTTATCATTTAGATGAGAAAGATTTGCAGTCGAAATTGGCGTTACTTTTCAAAAAGAATTTATACGATGTATCTATAAGGTAAATGGCACAGCTTTAAACTCAAATTATCGTAAAAGTATGTCGCGTTATAGCTTAATATTCCATTACTTTTAGAATAGCTAAAAATCAACAATACGATGCCGAGAGTCTCATAGATATATTTCGACAATACGGAGATCATTTGTATTTAAAAGGCGATCATAACGGTGCAATAGAACAATACATAAAAACTATTGGCAAATTAGAGCCTTCGTATGTAATCAGAAAATTTTTGGACTCGCAGCATATCGATTATTTGACGACTTATTTGCAAGCGTTACATAAAAATGGACAGGCAACGGAAGATCATACTACGTTGTTGTTGAATTGTTACACAAAACTAAATCATACGGATAAATTGAAAGAATTCATCATGGTAAATAACCATTAACTTAAATCCAATTTCAATGAACAATATCGACGTCTATACCATTTCGCCTAACAATTTTAGACGAAAGATAGAGAGGTTGATTTCGACGTCGAAATTGCGATAAAAGTCTGTCGTCAAGCATCGCCAGAGGATGCCCTGCTTCTCGCTCAAAAACATGGTAGACACGAATGGTACCTTCGTATTCAAATAGAAGACAAACACGAGTACGAGAAAGCGCTGGAGTACATTGCAACTTTAGAGTTCGAAGAAGTGCGTTTCTAAATTTGTTTGAGTTCGTTATAGATCGACTAATCTTAAATAATTTTTTAGGCAGAGTCTAATATGAAGAAATACGGCAATATTCTTATAGAAAATGTGCCAAAAGAATCTACACAATTTTTAAAAACTTTATGTACCAATTATAGGCCTTCCAACAAACCACTTGTAGACCAGGTAAAATCATCGATATTATATTGGTGTTGATGTAACAGGAAAGTCAACTCAAATGTTTCTTTTTTGTTCAGGAAACATTAGATGGTACCATGGACCAACATATTGACAAAGCCAATCCCGAAGACTTTATTCATCTGTTTTTAAACAACTCGGAACAACTAGTAGAGTTCTTAGAGCATCTAGTAAAATTTGATACCAAGTTAGTACATCGCTACAAGTATTCCAAAAGAGTACAGTATTCCGTATTTTTTAATTTAAATATCCTAATGTAGGTGGAGTACTTTGGTGTACAATACACTAGTAGAACATTACCTTCATGTGTGGTCAGCCTTAGACAACGATGTGGCGAAAGTACAATACGAACAGAAAATAGTTCGGCTTTTACAAAGCTCAGAGGCATGTTACGATAAAGATCAGATATTAATCTTGTGCCATCAACATAACTTCAAACGTGGTCTACTATTCCTTTACGAAGAAAGTAAACTGTATGTTGAACTTGTATAATCAAACAGACTATTGTCTCCTTTTTATCTTGCCTTATACGTTAATTTATTTATAGATATCAGGAAATATTGCGATATCATTTACGAGAAGGTGACAGCGAACAAGTTTTAGCTACTTGCAAACGATTTGGCCATCAAGATCCAAATTTATGGGTTCAAGCTTTGTGGAGCGTTGCAAGGAACAAAGAAGCTCCGCTCAAGCTTCTTGCAGATATACTAACTTACATAGGTATATTTCAACATTCTTCTTCTTCTTCCTTCGTGTTGCGCATTTCTTTCGAATAAAATACGTATTATCCACAGAACAAGAGAAACTTCTGTCGCCGCTGATGGTAATCGATGCAATTTCAACTTCGCTTTCTTGTACCTTGGGTGACGTCAGAACCTATTTAAACAATGTATTGCGAACGAATCATGAACAAACGCAAGCAGATGTAGAATTAACCGAGAAGTATCGGGCAGATACTTTAAAAATACGAGAACAAATAGAATCTATCAAGAATAGCACGATAATCTTCCAGGGATCTCGTTGCAGCGCGTGTCATTATCAGTTAGAGCTGCCGTCGGTACATTTTATGTGTCAGCATTCGTATCATCAACAGTAAGTTCATATTATACAAAGCATGAAACACAGTATAATACCTCATACATGTATGTCGGCATTGTCGTTGATTCTAATTGGAAATTAAGGGTGTAAGACTTTGTTAGTATTAACCTTGAAGAATCTAAAATATCTTAACAACTAATTATTTTGTCATTTGTCAGCTGTTTCCAAAGCTTCTCTGAGAACGAAAACGAGTGTCCAGTTTGTTTGCCAAACAATAAGAAGCTGTTAGACATCATCAAGGCACAGGAACAATCGAGAGATCTTCACGAAACGTTTCACAGTCTACTCGATCGCGCGGAAGATCCGTTTTCATTGGTTGCTGACTACTTCGGTCGCGGAGTATTTAAGAAATTAACGGTGATCACTGATACAGATAAACCGTTGTCAGCTGCATCTACAAGATTCGAAGAACCACCTAATTACGGACCAGGAGCGGAAGCCAGGATCCGACTACTAGAGGGAAATAGTTCAACTTTAGGTAGTTAGAAATTTCACTCTTTTTTTAAGTACCAACGTAGAGTTTATAACGATTAAAATACTGTATTATGCTATGTTCAACTTGTTAGGAAAAATTGAGCCCCGTCGACCCCAAGATAACTTCCCTGTAGCAGCGGATGATCGTCTACGATCATTTCCAAAACCTGACGTTTATTCCTCGTCGATGGAAGGAAACTCTGGTGGTATGAACGTGTCCACTTCTCGAGAAAATTCAAGAAAAGTTTCACCGGTGCCTATAAGGGAGGCTCGAATTTTGAACAGTTCGACACCAAAATCGTCGCCGATTCAGAAGGCTTTCGTGCCTCCGAAAACACCGATTGTGCCATCCAAACTGTTCAAAACGAACGACTATGATGAATCAAAGAATCCATTTTCCGAGGAAAAAGACGAAGACCATTTAAATCCGTTCAACGACGATGACGCTGATGACGACGACTATAATAAAAACCTGAACCCCTTCGGTAGATAAACTTCATTTCTTTCTCGAGCTCATGCATAAATAGTAAATGAATTAAAGGTTATCACACAGACCAAGATCTGTTGAGGCTTGAAAAGAAACATACAATGTCGTAAACATTATTATTGTATGCATTGTAAATGAATTCGATAGATTCAGTTTAGCTTCGATTAGTGCGATTCTCGTCGGGGATACAACCGTTCCTCCTTGGCTGTCCTCTTCATCTATCATGAATTTTGTATTATTTTTTCACTTCATTTATATAAAAATATGAAACAACCCGATCCTTGATCTCTCGATCGCGCGACTAATGGGATTTTTTTGACATAAAGCATGAGACATAATAATTATATTAAACAATTTATTGTATATATTGCTTTACACTGTGTTTCAAATCACAATGTATATCCACAAAACAACTATTAGGATTACTTAATGAACAATTTTCATGATAAAAAAATACTAAACATTTTACGAAAAAATACATCTACCAAAGTAAGTGTTTCCCAAATCGCAATTAATAAATAAGTTATACGTGAACATATTTAGAACTATATTAAACATGGTCCAAAATGTCTTTCCATTCGAATATTTTGTCGCTTATTCTAAAGGCGCTATAACTGTCTATACTCTCTGGAGTTCTCGGTTTTATACAGACGGGAGTGCAATACTCTTCGGAAGACACAGGTGTGAAAAAGTGAGAAAGTACAGGTACAGCGTCTCTCTGCCTTGGCTCTGGATCTCTACTACGAGTTAATCTGCTTGGCAATTGTTTTTCGTCGATGGACAAATCCACCAAATTTTTATAAATTGCTTCATCAAGAGGAAAATCCAGAGCGCTAGAAATCTAAAAATGCAAACGTGATATTATTTCTGTATACTATTTGTAAACAATCTTTTCTTTAATACCTTTCCATTTATAAGGTTTTTATAGGTGGCTGGTAAATGCTCCATATCAGTCACAATTTTTTGTTTTTCCAATTGATTTAATTTATTGATTGTACACATAATTGAATTGTACTCTGGCCTTGCTAATTTCTCACCTGAAGTACATGGTCTTATGTGAGCATTTTCATTGGTTTTTGGAATCTTAAAGTCATTTTGCTTTTTACGTTGTATTCCTGGACCAATATAAGGTTTAATTTTGGGACCAATTATGTCTCTTACAACAGTCGTCTGAACAGTAGAAGTTTTGCTCTTTGATGTAACTTTACCATACTTATGGCATGGCATAACATTAATAGTAGTAGATTTTGTATTCAGTTTTTTAGGTCCAACTGAAGTAGTAGATGGTTTAGATCTAACATTTGACTTCTCTTTATTAAAAATAACAGGACCAGATTTAGTTTTACAACATGCAACTTTTAAATCTACTGTTCTTTTAATTGTATTCTTAATACCCTTTTTAGTAACTAAAGCATCATTTTCTTTTCCTTGTCTGTCTTTTATGCAATCTGTTTTTGATATGTTTCTTTTGGCACAGTTTTGCAACTTAGGTACTTTATCAGAAATCTCATTTGGTGTGACTAAAGGTGCTGAAAAAGTTGCAGCATTGCTTGGGGATTCATTAGAACCTTTAGATACATGAGTCTTCTCTGAATTTACTTGGATATTTTGAATATTATTAACATCACTTAGGGGTTTCGGATTTTCTGCTCTAACAGAATTATCGATTGAACAAGGTATAATTTGATTTGTACAAGGAGAAAACGTTTTGCTAGATACTCCTAACGATTCAGTCTTTTTTACATTACTGATAGATTTGAAATTTTTACTTTCTTGATTGCCACATTGTTTTTTTGGTTTAATTAATATAACAGGTTTATCTAGAGTCACAATACTTCTAATTCTTGGTTTATTCGACTGGGTAGTATTTGTTTGATCTATTGAAGATTTTAGTCCATCATTTCTCAATTTATCAACATCAGTTTGACAAAATCTAACCTTTGGTTTAACAAACAATTTATTGTCCTTCGACATCGTGAAAAAGTGTGGCAAATATTCAAAATAAGAAACTTGTAAAATGTTCTGCTCAAAAATTTAACACTACACAATTATGAAAGTGTTGACAAACATTTAAACACAGCTGTCCAGAAAGCTGTTAAATAAATATCAGATCACAAATGATCTTTTAAATTCCTTAATAAAACCATTACGCATATCCGACGGAATAACTCGAGTTTCATTTTCGTTTCATTTCAATTCATAAATATAGAATAATTAAACGTTAATATCTTAGGCTAGGACCATAGAACGAAACGGTCTCCCTCATACTTTTCTCTCTCCTCTCACACAGTCTTATTCCTCTCAGCGTGTGGCCTGTAGCCACCGCTACATCTTTGTGGCGACCCTCAATATGCCCACTGGAAGCAACTAGGTTAGGTTAGGTCAATTTAAGCTAGTTACTTTTAGTCCCTACGTTAAGTTGTATATAGTTGTAAATATAATCGTGCAATAAAGACGCATAAACCAGAGATTCCTGTGTAATTTCTTATTTTTTCCCCACATCCTGAAGAAATGCAGAGCCATCTAACGGTGAAACGATAGAACTAAATATACTTAATTAGCGCCATCGGGTGCCAAGACTCCTAAGTTTTTTGCGAAACAATTCGTACGTTCACCGCTAGATGAAAACCACTAACTTCAGTAATTGATCCATTTATCAATATAAACGAAAATTCGATACGTACCGGATTTTTGTCAGAATTTGACTCCTGGTATCAGGAGCACATGATATGCGAAG